CTGAGGTGATTTTTCCATCCCAATTCCAAATTGTTATTGTCATGTTCCAGTTAATATGTTGAGTGATTTCAGATATTTTGTTTCTGATGTTTGGATGATTTTGCCAGTTGAGTTTGTGTCGATTCTGCGTTTGAATTTTGATGAATTATCTGAGATTGGAGTTGATTTCTGTTGTATTTGAATATGCTAGGAATTGGATATTTGATAATGATGACTTTGAAATTGTAATTGGTGTTTGATTATTCGCATGCTTAGCCAAGTTATCCGCTATTTCATTTGGAATGTTGCCACTATGTGCTTTGATTTTTTTTAGTGTAAATTTTAACGATTTAGCTGATATCAGATATGCTATGTTGTGCCATATTGGCCAGGCTGTGGTTTTCAGTATTTTTCTGGTTGGTATTCGTTGGGTGGTCCATTTTGACAAAATGGATATTGCCGCTTGACTGTCTGTATTGATTTCCACATGGGATTTTTCTGGAATTGCTTCGAGCGCTGTTAAGATTGCAAGTCCTTCGGCTGTTGTTGAAATCTTTTGGGGTAACATGGTTGTTGCAAACCGGATTTCTGTCATGTTATCTATCCAGGCTGCTCCACTCTTAATGTCAGAAGTGCCGGATTTGATTATGGAACCATCAGTAAATATTTTGTGTTGTTTAATATGTGCTAATGTATTAGTGATTGTATGCCAGTGTTGTTTGAGTTCTTTGGGAATGTTGATTATTTGTGTGTTGTCATATAACAAATCATCAAAGTCAGTTTGATTCTTGTTAGAAGGGATCATTTGTGGTTGTCAGGATGTGCATTGGTATTTAGTGATGTTGGGTTGTATTTGTCATTGAGTGAATAGTATGTTTCTATTTATATCGATTGTTCTTGATTGGATTATTTTAAACCAATTGGGAATGTTGCCTTTGTTTGTTGATCTAGTATACTTTGTATATTTGTTTCACGTGACTAGTTTGTTTTTATCTATAAGTTGTTCTAAATAAAGGAGATTTTCTTTTTTGAGAGCCGCTCGATGTTTTTTGTATAGTGTGTTTGGTGCGATGATGTTTTCGATTGGTCATTCGAACCCGTGGATAAGTGATGGTGACCAATTGTTATTTGGAGATATTTTGAAAGAGATTTTACGATCTGTCATTATATTTATTATGTCAGCTATTAAATTGTATCCGGGTTTGCTGGTTTCTGGTTGTGGATTTTCTAAAATGTTGAATGTGGATCAGCGAGCATGCTGAAGATTTGCCAATCTTGTTTTGGTCGTTAAACCAGCAATGTTATCCGAATTAAGTCGAATATAGAGTTCAGAAATTTTGCTTTTAGCTTGTATGTCATCGATATCGCATGTATTGTATATATTTGGATGTTTGATTGCAGCAGTAGGAAAGGTGTTTGGTAGTGAAGCTTTGATTCTAATTGTGACATTGATGAGTTTGTTCCAGCTGTTTATATGGGATTTATTGATGTATGTAAGCATTGTTCTGTATTCGATGGCTGGAGCAATAACGCTGTTGAATATATATATGATTTGTTTGTCTGTAATGTGTTTTCGTCGAAGTAGAGAGCAAATTTGTTTTAACTCATTTGAGGTCATATTGATGACAGTATCTGGTTTTTCATCAGCCCGTAACCATACTCCTAAATATCTTGCACTGATATTTGGTGGTAGAATTTTGATTTTGATATTGTTGTTGATATTTAGAAATGGTTCAGGATGAGAGTAGTCTGGTGTGATTCTTATGATTTCTGTTTTATCATAGTTAATCTCAATGTCTGTCATGTGAAAAAAACTGAGTGCAGTGTTGAAGATCTGTATAGCTCCTTGTTTTGAATTGGCTATCCAACAAGTGTCATCCACAAATGCAAGATGATTGATAGGAAATTTGGTTATGGTGTGATTGTTATCATCAATGTGTTTTGAGTTGATGTGATGCATTATATATCCGTCAGATTTGTGTTTGTTGTTGACTTTGCATAGTAGCGGATCATAAAAAATGCGCCAGAGTATGGGTGAGTAAGTTTCTCCTTGGTCAATGCCATCTTCGATTTGATAGGAGGGACTGGGACCGTATTCAGTTAAAATGGAACTGGTTCTACTGTTGTGTATTTGTGCTAAGAGGTTGATTATTGTGTTGTTCATTCTGATTCTTTTTAGAGCCATTTCTAATGGAGTCCACCCTACTGAGTCATATGCCTTTTTCATATCTTGAAATATAAACCAGGCTTCATGTTTGAATTCTCTTGCATGTTCCATTATATTATTGATTGTGTGAATCGGGACTAGTGTGTTTGTATTTTTTAGAACTGATATGTTATTACCTCGAAGTATGTTGTGTTTTTCACATATATTTGATATTCTGTCTGTTATGACTCGTGTAAAGATTTTTCGTGCCGTTTCGATTAAGGTGATGGGTCTGGTGATGTTTATGTTTCCTTTCCAATTCTTGGGTTTTGGTATTAATACTATAGTCGCAGTTTTCCATTCATGTGGTACATTAGCTTGATCCATGCATTTGTTAAATAGTTGACGGAGTGATTCGATGATTTTGCTGTTGGCATGTTTCTATAATTCCATTGGAATTCCCGATGGACCAGCAGCTTTGTTGTGAGGAGAATTTTGCAATGCATGAGATATTTCCATTTTTGTGATTGGTGAAGATATATTGTCGAAGGTGTTGATGTTAATTGTAGGTAAAGGTTGGTATTCAGATTTCCATTGTTGAAGTTCTGTTATATTGATATTACGTCTTCTGGTCCAAGTTTTTGCTTTAGAATTAGCAATTTTCTCGATTTCTTCTGGATCGCTATGGTAGCCTTCTTCGTCGATGATGTGATCGAGTGTAATTCGATTAGGATGTTTTTCTAGGATGCTCTTGATCATGTTGCCTTTTTCCGTCTCAAAGGCTTTCTCTCTATTGATAATTGCTGTGTATATTTGTTGTAATTGTTCTTTTTTTGTTTCAAATTTGTATGCTTTGCTATATTTTTTGTGCCATGAGTTTATTGTTTCAAGCCATTGAGCTATGTTATCCCGTGAGTTCCAGTTAGGTGGACTGATTGCATCTTTAGGTAAGAGTGTTGACCATTTGTTGTGTAGGTTTTGGATTTGAGCTTTGGTGTTTGTTTGTGTGTTTTGTTTGTAAAGTTGTAATAATCCATGTGTTATTTTTTTTGCTTTGAAAAGATTTGATTCTTTCTTAGTATATAGATTTGTTGTGCCAAGTTTTTTTGTAGGTAGTTGTTTTGCTGTATCTAATACTATATTCTTGAGAAAGTTCCAGTGAGAATTGATATCTGAAATATCTGTAGCGATGTTTTTGATGTAGTTTTGATGCGTTTTTGATTTGTATTTTTCCCAGGCTTTTTCATCAACCTTTTTGAGATTAATTGTTTTGCGGAAGTGTTTTTTGTATCGGTCTTTTTGACGTTGGGTATTGGTGAGAATTTGGTTGGTGTTGATTTCTATGCCAATTGGATAGTGATCTGAAAAGTTTGATTCTATTATAGGTATAGTCAATGGTGTATATTGTGTTGCCAGTGTTGGATCTATAAAAATATAATCTAGTGTTCGGAATATGTTATTAGCTTGCCAGGTGAAAGTTTGTGTATTTGGAAAGAGTGATATGTCGTGGGTGTTTATAAGGCCATGGTTAATGATGTTGGTTGTAATGGGACATTTGTTTGTATTGTTATTATATAATATGCAATCTTCGTTGAAGTCTCCCGCGACAATGATTGATTCATTCTTGATTATGATTTTTCCTATGTATTTTGTGAGTTTTTGTCTTGTTGGATTTGTAGATGTTTGTTTAGAAGCAGGGCTATAGCAACATATAAGATGGAGTGTTTTCTTTCCTTTGAATTTTAGTACCAGATGAAGTAATCTTCCTTCCAATTTGTTGATTTCTTCGACGTGTCTGGCCCATTCATTTTTCATGATTATTGCTACTCCCTGTCCTAGTGTGTGTGTTATAGATGATTCATAAAATGCTGTTAGAGATGCATTTTCTAGATTGAATTTTGGGGTATTGTGTTTGCTGAGTTTGGTTTCAGTGAGAAAAGTGAAGTCGAAATTTTGGTGTTGGATCTAGTCATTGAGAGTGTAGAGTTTGCTTGGATCGTTTATTCCACGTACGTTTATAGTGCATATTTTCCATTTGTCATTGTTATTTTTAATATGATTGATATTATTGCTGGTAATACTTTTGTTGTTATCTATTGCGGATTCAGTTTCATTGTTGTGTATTATCATTATTGGTATTATTTTTGTTAAGTTCTGTTGCTATTGCTTGGTTGTTTGGATTGTTATGAATGGGTTTTTGTTGTTCTATAATGTGTTCTAGCAAGGAACTCAAATTATCGAATGTTGAATCTATGCTGTTAATGCTTTGTTGAAGAATATTGAGTTTGTGGTCTATATTATTGTTTGTTACTTCTGATGGTTTTGTTTCGATGTTGGCAATTTGTTTATTGAATGATTTGTTGATTTTGTCGATGATTTTGTTGCATTTTGTCGTTATTATTGTTAGTTGCTGTTTCATGTTGTTAATGCGATTATTGATACTATCAGGATTTGGTGTGCGATCTTGTTTTAGAATCTGTGCATAAGATTTTTTTGGTCTGTTATTTTGCTGGTTGCTGTGAATTTGATGTCTGGAATTGGAGGACATGTGTTGATTTTGGTTATTGTTGCGATAGGTTGTATGTGTATCATTATCTTGATACATTGTTTCTGTGTTGGTTTCATTGTTTTCAGTGACTATTTTTTCCTCGAATGAGTTGAGATTATTGTTTTGTGCAGTAGGTCGCTGTTGGCGTGGTTTTGAACAGTTAGAAATAATGTGAGTTGAGCTATGGCAATAGCGACAGGTTTTGGTATTGCAATCAACCCATTCCAATTTGTGATCATCTAGAATCAGTTTTGATTTTTTTGCGTTTAACATGTCTTCTTCTGATTCAAAGGTTAGAAAAGCTATTCCGAGATGGGTGTGTTTGAATCAGCTTCGGGGAATAAAACATGATTTGGCTCTGGTTTGATTTATAACATGTTGTAAAGCATAAGCGGTGCTTCTTGGTGGTAAATTTGCCAGTTTTAACTCATATGTTGATCTTGATTTAAGAGTTTCTTGATATGAGTTTGCAGGTATTGTGCGCATGCTATCATGTTTTATCATGATTGACCATGTGTTGTTTAGATTTAATTCGTCATCTGGTTCCATAAATGTTGCATGGGCTGATTTCCATCCTCCTTTTTCGATGCATTTGAATTCTGTAAGCGATCCGATTGAGTTACATGCTGATTTAACCGTTTCCTCGCTCATGTTGACTGGAATGTCCAGAATTACTATACCATTTCTTTTGGTAGGTTGTTTTATTGATTCATCTGATTTGGCCGGTGAAATTGCAGTAGAATTAATATTAATTTCAAGTTTTTTGAATTTGATTAGTGCTTTGTCTCGAGATGTTTTATTACTGAATTCAATTCTGAAGTTTTTGAATGATTTAGGTGATGGATTGAATAGACCCAGAAATGCCGGATCTTTGCTAATGTTATCCAAAATTCATTTGCGTTTTTGACCTAAGGTATTTAATGTTATATTGTCTTCTGGAATGAATGCATGATGTCTTGTTTTTCTTGTTACAATTTGCCATAGTGTTTGCTCTTCGTCATCAGTGAACTCCCCAATATGATGAACTGTTGCATTGCTGAATGTTGAAGATAGTGATTCGTTTGAGTGATTATTATGTATGTAGGGACTGGAAAGCGATACCGTGATGATCTCATCTTCATCTATGACGTCATGATTTTGGAAGACCTTTTCTCTGATTGGTGTTTGATTCTGAGTGGCAAACTTTGGCACGGGTGTATTCAATTCGAGATTGAAATTTTTGTTTGTATTTTCTGTATTATGAATGACATTGGAGTTTTTTTTCTTTGGAATTTGGTTTTTGCTAGGAGTTGGGGGGGGGGGGGATTCTTGGTGTTTTTGGAATGGCTTCTGCATTTGGTTGATTGACAGGAGTGATTGGTCGCTCGTTGTGAGTTAATGGTTCATTGACATTCGCTTTTAGTATTTGACTGATGTTTTGTGTTTGATTTATAATTTTGAGAGATTCGCTAATTTCTTTTTGAAGGGTGATTTCTATGTTTGTATCGCTTAAGGGTGTTTTATTGACATTAATGAAGGTAATAGGAGAAGCAGTTATTGGTTTTGGTGCGTGGTCTTTGTTGAGCAGAGTATTGGATTTTTCTTTTTTGATTTTTTTGGTGTTTTTTCCTGGCATTTTTTTCATTTTGCGCGGGGTTATTGTGTTGGATATTTGAGTATTATCTTCTGTTTGTTTGTTTTGTTCTGTTGGTGTGGTTATTTTTTGGTTTTTTTCATTATATTTGTTGTTTTTGTTGTTTTGTTCCATTTTATTTGTTTTTTGACTGTTTTCAGCCATTTCAAGGCCTTTTTGGCCGGATTTTTTTGGTCTATATGTGCGTCAGATGTATTTGTTTTGTTAAATATGTTTTTATTTCAAGAAAAATGAGCTGTTATGTCAGGAAAAAAAATTTTTTTTTTTCAAAGGATTACTAACTAATTTCTGGAGATTCTAATGAAATCGATTCGAAATTTAGTAGTGCTGAATCTTGATCAATGAATATATCCGATACATGTTGCTTTTATACAAATCCAAGATATAATTTCTAGGCTATACGAATTCATTTTCGCAATATCACTTAAATTCTATTGGTCTAATATTTATTCGCTCGTTCGTTCGCTTGTTCGCTTGTTCGCTCGCTTGTTTGTTTGTTCGTTTGTTCGCTTGTTCGCTCGCTTGTTCGCTCACTTCACGTGATATAATCTTTATCCAATAAGATATGAGATATTTATAATCTAATAAAATATTATGACGAAAGGTCATTATACAACAGTAGTCTAAATATTATTATGACTAATTTTATTGTGCCACATCTTTTGTTCACATGTTCTTTTGAAATTATAATTGATATCGAATCAGTGACAATATGCTAATCATTACAGTTTCTTTGAGTTATATCACTTCAAAATTTTTATTTTCAGAGTTCTATACAGATTTGAATCAGTATAACCAAAAAATCAGTAACAATCAGCATATTTACTGATTGTTGCTGATCTAATATCTATCAAATTTACTGATATCAAGAATTAGTATGAACTAAAAAGAGTCATAATTTGTAAATCATATATTTACTAACTATCCAATAGAAATATACTATAAGTAACATGATATATCTTATATCAAATACTAAATTAATCACATGGTGACAGAATGAATTCTATTGTTACTTGAAATTGCTACTGTTACTACTGCTTGAAATTGCTACTACTACTTGAAATTGACATTACAAAGTTTTGAATTTTAAAAAAAATTTAAAATATCTGTACAGATCTATATTTTATTGCAAATCTGTACAGATTTTTTAAAAAATTTTTCTTTACCAATTATTACCAGATTTGAGGTTTTGTACAGATTTTTGGATCCAAAGATCTATACAAAACTGCGTTCTCAAAAATTTTTTGATGAAAATACTTCTGACAATACTTGCTTAAGCAGAAATTTGATCTGATAATTGATCATGTTAGATTGAAATAGTTTATTATCAAATCCAATTCAACCAAAAGAATGATATGATGAATTACCATTTTGCAAGAGTATGATTTTGAAATTATTTACAAATCCAGCCACAAATATTTCAACATTGACGCTTTATTCCAAATTCTTCCAAATTGAACAAGACTCAATCTTCAAATAAATTCTCTATTCAATAAATAACATTAACTATAATTATGAAATAACATCTATATAATATTTGGATAAATTATATTAATGATCAAATAATATTAGTGAAATTATCACCTGAACAACAGAAGTTTATACAAAGATACAAAAATAATTATCTAATATTGGAAGAAAAATTATATCATCGACAAAACAAAGAAAGACTGAAACGAGTTATAATAAAAGATGAAAAGGATATTATTCTTCAACAACTTCATACTGACAAAACTGCTGCACACCTTGAACAAAATATAACAATTAGTAAGATCAAAAAAGATATTATTGATCAATAATAACGAGTAATAGAAAAAAAAATATTTATATCTGCAAAATCTACCAACAACACAGATGACCAAAAAAGACAGAACCACTAAACCTAATCAAAGTTACCAGATCATTCAACTGATGACAGCGAGAAAGAATCAATATATTGTAATAATCATAAAATACCTAACCAAATGATCAGAAGCTAAAGTTATTCAAAAGATTAATTTAGCAAATGTCGAAAAATTCATCAAGAAAAAAATTATCTCCTGATACAGTTATCCTAAAAAAATATTAACAGATCAAGAAATGCACTTCATTAACGAGAAGATCAAAACTCTTTGTGAATGGATGAAAATAAAAAGAACACTATCCTTACCTTATCATCTTCAGACAAATAGACTTGTGAAATGATTCAACTAGACACTCTGTGAATCACTATCAAAATTATTAATTCAAATGAAAACATATTGGGATGATCACATTCTTGCAACACTTCTCACCTACTGAACTGCAAGACATGACATCACAAAATATATTCCTTTCAAACTACTTTACAGACAAAAAGCAACCCTCCCAATTGATTTACAAATATCAACTGATATTGGAAAAATAAATAATAACTATCAAAAAATCCTTAATCAATGAATATTCGATGCGATCTATTAGTTGAACGAAAAATGATTTGATGTCAAAATCAATATTAAACAAGTACAAGAAAAACAAAAAGAACATCATGATCTAGACCTACTGAAAAAGAAATATAACATTGATGACAAAATACTCATATATTAAAGCAAAAACAACAAATAATAATTCAGAAAATTAGATTCCAAATAGAACAGATCTTACTGAATTCATGAAAAACTTGACAATGAAGCTTACAAACTCACTGATCAAAATAGAATTCACGTTAAATTCATACATGAAAATTGATTCAAACATTATTATGAATGACAAAATAAAAATAACAAATTCGAAGATGAATCCTCAAATGAAGAAGGAAAAAATAATTCCAATAATAATAATACTAATATTAACAAAAGATTTAAAAGAATATAGAAGAAAGTAAAAATAAAAAAATTGAATGATTATAAAAAAAATATATATATAATATAATAATAATATAATAACAAAACAAAATAATAACTAACAACAATATAAAAAATAATTTAATAAATGAAAATACTAATAAAAATGAAAATTAAGTTATACAACACACATGACTTTTGAGATTTAATGTCAACACACAAATTAAAATAATTATAAAAATAATGATAATAATAATAAAACATGAATGAAATGACAGAAATAACAAAATGGACCAAATAAATGAAATAATAATACTTACTGATAAGGATGCTTGCCGAAATCTTTTTAATAAATACCGAAATGCCAAAATTCTTATTATAAGTAGTAATTACTATTGTCGAAATGACGCAGTAATGCCAAAATGGTGCAGTAAATTAATTTCGGCATAATAAATAATTTTGGCATTGTCAAAGAATTTCGGCATAACTAAGTAATTTCGACATTATTAAAGTAATATTAAAATGACACAGTAATGCCGAAATAGCACAGTAAATAAATTTTGGCATAATAAATAATTTCGGCATTATCAAAGAATTTTGGTAATTTTGACATTATTCAAGTAATATTAAAATAATGCAATAATGCTGAAATGATATAGTAAATAATAAATAATTTTAGTATTGTTAAAGAATTTCGGTATAAGTAAATAATTTTGATATTATT